AATATAAAAAAAAATAAAAAATAAAAAAAATTCACTTGTAAGAATTTTTCACTTCATGTTTTTACTTATAAAGGACGCCAAAGGTATACTAGATCCTTTTATATACAACTTAAATGATACAAGCTTTATTCTAAAAACTTCCTTGTGCTTGCCAGGCAAGCGCTTATTCTACTGAGCCATCTCCCCGGCCCTTATTTTCTAATGAAATCTAAAATCCCGGTTTTTACTTGTTACTTTTGTGTGTATGCTTGTTGTATAACTCATGGTAGTTACTCAAAATTATAAAATTTTTTATAACTTAGATTTTTGAGTAATTTCAAATAAAGTTGTTTATTTTGAGAATTTTGTGTGATGGGTAATCCTTTTCATTCAAGCCATTGCAGATTAGGTAGTTTTATTATTTTCTTATTCATTAATTTCTCAACTACGAACAGAATTTGAGACCCTTTTCATTAGCATCTTTTGGGCCTTTTTTCCTTTCCTTTCTGAGATAGGGTCTCTGTGTAGTTCAGAATGGATTTGCGCTCACTGTGATATGGAATTCAGGACCAGACCAAATGGAAGACAACAGCAGAGGGTTTTTGGGAAGCAGTTTTGTACCAGTGAGCTGGGGGAACCCAGAGGTTCAAATCAATAGCCTCGTTCTGAGGTTACCAGTCACCTAGATTTTCAAAAGGAAGTACAAAAGTTCTGTTGTTCGTTATGCATGTCTTTGTCATTAATTGCTAGGCAGAATATACTCTTTACAGGAACTAATAAAAGCTACTGTCCTGTAATATGGAAGAATCAGTCATCTGAGACTGGGCAGAGGTGTCCTTGAGGTGGTAACTCTGGGACTTGAAACTAAACAAAACACTGCTGTCTGGTTAAGCTGCTCTTACCTTGCAGCTGGCAACCGGAGTGTCACAGCTTGTTTCACAGCTCTCTTAATTTTGAGAACCAACTGTGCTTCCCAGGCTTATTCTTGAACAGTGTGAGAAATGTATTTGTGTTAGCAGTATAAGATCTAAAATTTTCATTACATATAAAATAGCCTCTACAACTACCCAGTGCATACTGGCTTGGAACTTGTGGCGATCCTCCTGCCCCAGCCATCTGAGTGCTGGGGTCACAGGTGTGTTTCAGCCTTCTACTCTTTAAGTCATTGTGAAAGCCACAGTTTAATACTAGTGATATTTAGTATTATAATTAGATATTTCTAATGTCTGTAATTTTTCCAGTAGTCTTGTTCCTTGAAGGAATAGTGCCCTAAATGTGAAGGGGTTGTCAATGGTTTATTATTATTATTATTTTTTAAAGTTTTATTCTTAAGGTTTTGTTTGTTTTTATGTGTTTAGTATAGGGTCTACAGGGTTACGCAGACTCGTCGTAATTCTCCTGTGTTCAGCCTCCCAAGCACTGGGATTACAGGTGCCCACCACCATACTCCGTCCCAGTCGCTGTTTCAGTGCAGGGTTTTAATTTTTAAAAATAATTTCTCATGTCAGGAGAAACTTGACCTTATGACAATTGAGTAATTTAGTAATTTATTAAGGCTAATTTTGTTTGTTTTAGATAAAATTTGCTGGGTTCAAAAGTTCCTTTTAGTGGTACGTCCTCCGCGCTTGGTTGGGGCTTCCACTGTACATAAACATACCTGTAATGTCATGATATATTTCCAGTTGTGATGTGTCTAGAACTTCTAAAATCATATTTAATGGCTTTTAATAACTTGCTTTGAAGGAATTGTTTACAAAGCTGTGTGGAGAGCTAAGTTCGTTTGAAGGCATTCGAGATGGGGAAAGACTATTATAGCATTTTGGGAATTGAAAAAAGAGGCTCAGATGAAGATATTAAAAAGGCTTACTGAAAACAAGCCCTCAAATTCCATCCGGACAAGAACAAATCTCCTCAGGCAGAGGAAAAATTTAAAGAGGTCGCAGAAGCTTATGAAGTATTGAGTGATCCTAAAAAGAGAGAAATATATGATCAGTTTGGGGAAGAAGGATTGAAAGGAGGAGCAGGAGGTACCGATGGACAAGGAGGTACCTTCCGGTACACTTTTCATGGTGATCCTCATGCCACCTTTGCAGCATTTTTTGGAGGCTTTAACCCCTTTGAAATTTTGTTTGGAAGACAGATGGGAGGTGGCAGAGATTCTGAAGAGATGGAAATAGACGGCGATCCTTTCAGTGCATTTGGATTCAGCATGAACGGATATCCTAGAGACAGGAATTCTGTGGGGCATTCCCGTCTTAAACAAGACCCTCCAGTGATTCATGAACTTCGAGTCTCTCTAGAAGAGATAGACAGTGGTTGCACAAAATGGATGAAAATTTCTCGAAAAAGATTAAACCCTGATGGAAGGAGTTACAGATCTGAGGACAAAATTCTCACCATTGAGATTAAAAAGGGGTGGAAAGAAGGCACCAAAATTACTTTTCCAAGGGAGGGAGATGAAACACCGAATAGTATCCCTGCAGACATTGTTTTCATTATTAAAGACAAAGATCACCCAAAATTCAAAAGAGATGGATCAAATATAATTTATACTGCTAAAATTAGCTTACGGGAGGCCCTGTGTGGCTGCTCAATCAATGTGCCAACAATGGATGGAAGAAACATACCCATGTCAGTAAATGACATTGTGAAGCCCGGGATGAGGAGGAGGATTATTGGATATGGCCTGCCTTTTCCAAAAAACCCTGACCAGCGTGGTGACCTTCTAATAGAATTTGATGTGTCCTTCCC